TTAAGACAAATAGGACAACGTGAGGGAGACTGTGTCCCCCTCTCAACTCTGTTCTTTTCTTGTCTCTCTTTTTGCCTAATAAAATCTTAGTATCATTGATTTAAGACTATTGGGGTTATGAGTACTTTTTCACTTCCATCACAGAATTCATTTCATTTCATTCTCATCACAGAATTCAAAATAATTATAACTTGGGCTTAAAGAATTGATTGAGTCAGAAGCAGCCATAGGGTTTCATTTTGCCCACTTCTTTTCTTTGCTGCCAATGAGTCTATTCAACAGGTAAATGAATCATCAGTGTCTGCCATATACTGGTAGTCAGTATGTGTTTTAGATATATTTTCTCATTTTAAGTTCTTATAAGGTATGTATTATTTTTGTTTTATGAAAGATGAAATTTATGTCAAGAGAGGTTAAGAGTCCTATCCAGAGGTTTCAAAACTAGTAAGCAATCACAGGTGCCTGTCTGACTTGTGGCAGCCCTAGTTAAGATAAATAATGGTTGTGAAATTATAATGCATAAACTCTTTGAAATATTTTGCACCTATTATTATGATAAAGATTTATAGCACACCTACTTTCATACCAAAGTCTCTGTTAGAGTCTCAAGGGTTCACAGTCTTATAATGGAGCTGACTTATAAACAAAGTTTTGACTGTGATATGTCTTAAGAAGAATGAATAAGTTATTCGTAAGTTGAAAGAAAAGGAAAGTTATTTTAATAGACTTAACCAGAAACGAATATTCCACGAGTGAATAATTTGTGTGAAAGCAAATTTAATTTGGATTGCTTTAATGTATCAAAGGAAAACCTGGGTATATTTGGGTTTGTCTTAGTGGTGAATATCTGAAGGCAATCTTAAATATTCTATTAGAACAATACTGAGGAATGCAAAAGAAAGAGACATAGTCAATATTCCCTAATTGTATGTTTGTAGAAGTGATCAGTTACTTTGAAATGTGTCTGAATAGTGACTCTGCTGTCCTGTGCTATCATGAGCCCCATAGAGCTCTCATTCAGTTGGAGATCCCGATTTCAAGAATGCTTCCCCAGTGCTAACCATGTCTCTGAGAAAGTGAGAGAGGGAGACACACATACAAACACACTCAAGGTGGAGGAGGTAGGGAGAGAGAACGAAAAAGAAGGAAGGGAGAAGGAGATTTGTATGTGTAAATAAACGTAGAAAAGTCTGAAAGTATTCATTCCTCAGGAAAGGAGTGTGATTGAATGGAGGAGTGAGGGGAAAGGGTAATTTTTTTCTTTTTTTCATTATTCTGTGATGATAGTGATAGCCAATATTTACTGCTTACTATGCCAGGTTGAAAAACATTTTATGCCATTCTTTTGTTATGTAGTCTTAAATTTTGATGTAATCATGTTTGTAAATCTTTTCCTTCATGACTTTATTCAGGTTAAGTACTTTTATTTCTGTTCCTAGATTGCTAGATTAAAAACAATCAGGAATGTTGAATTTTCATGAGGTGACCTTTTATTGTCTGTCTAAAGAAATGATCATAATAATTTGCTAGTATAATGAATTATTTTTAACAAATTTCTAAATATTGACCTTTCCTTGAATTCTTTGAATAACATCTTGGCTGTAATTTATTGTCTTTTTGAAAAGCTCCTAATTTCAATTTGTAATTGATATATTTATGCCTTGGACTCATAAGTTAGAATTTAATGTATATACTACTTTTTTCCTTCCTTCTTCCCTCTTTTTCTCCCTTCCTCCCTGCCTCTTTCCCTTTTTCCTCTCTCATTCTTTTTCTTTTCCTTCTTTCTTTCCTTCTTTTCTTTTTTTTTTGACAATTTTTGGGTTGGGATTATATCTTTTCATAGAATGATTTTAAGTTTCTCCTTTGCTATGTGTACTCTATATTAGTTATATACATAAGAATGAGTAATTTAAAACTATTTGGTAAATGTTTTCCTTTAATTTATCTAGGTCTAGCATACTGCCCTGTAGTTTTTTTTTTTCTGTAGTTATCTGTATTTCAGGTTTCTACTTGTTATTAAGGGTATTTTGTTAATTAATAGTTTCTTAGAAAATTGTCTGTTTCAGTTACATTTTCACATTTATTAGATTAAATACATGTTGTTTTCCTATAGTTAAAAATCTCTCTAACTAGAATTATTTCCTTTTTTTCTTCTAATGTTATGAATTATTTTCATTCATTCATTTGTTTTCTTTCTTGTGCTTGCTGAATAATGGGCTGTTTTATTGTCTTTTCCAAGAACAGCTTTGGGTTGGTTTTATTGGCTGCCCATCTCTACTTCCTATTTTATAGCTTCCATAGAATTACCTTCTTTTATTTTATAAATTGCTTGTATTTTTTCTGGCTGGGTTTATTTTTTATACTTTTTTCCATTGATAATTTCAGATTTACAGAAAAATGCTCTTTCTCGCTGTTAATTTTTTAATTTATGCTTTTTTTTTTTTTTTTTTTAGAACCACTTGAATTTAAATTGGGGGCATTTATTTTTGCCCAGTTACTTCTAATTACCTAAGTCTATTTTCTAAGAACCATAGTATAATTATCAAAATCAGGAAGTTTAACTATGATATACTACTATTATCTAAGTCTCAGTCCATACTGATATTTTATCAGTTGTACAATAATATCCTTTATAATTATTTCTTTCCTGACTCAGGGTGTGATCTAGGGCATGCATTGCATTCGGTTGTTCTCTCTTTTGTGTCATTTAATCTAGATCGTTTCATTGATCTTTTAAAACATTTTTTATTTTAGAGTTGTGTGGTATGTGTGAGGATTTGCTACATAAGTAGATTGTGTGAATGTGGGGACTTCTAGTGAGCCCCCGCAGTAGTGGACATGGTATCTAATGGGTGGTTGTTTGCCCCTTGTCCCTCTTCTTTCCCTCCCTCCTTAAGTAGTGCCCTGCATCTGTTTTCCTGTCTTTGTGCTCAGGTGCCCAATGTTTAGTGCCCCCTTATGAGTGAGAACATGTGGTATTCAGTTTTTTTGTTTGTTTCTGTGATTGTTCACTTAGAATGACGTCCTCAGCTGCCTCTATGTTGCTGCAAAAGACATGATTTTGTTCTTTCTTGCAGCTGTGTAGCATATGTATGTGTACCGTATTTTCCTTATCTAGTCCGCTTTTGATGAGTATCTTGGTTAGTTCCATGTTTTTGCTATTGTGAATAGTGTTGTTTAATTTCCATGTAAGTTTTGGGGGGCTTCCTGCTGGTTATATTTATTTTTATTCCACTATGGTCTAAGATGCTTGGTATGATTTTGAGCTTTTGAAATATGTTCACACTTGATTTGTGTCTGATCTTGAAGTTTGTTCCATGTTCTGATGAGAAGAATGTATATTCTGTCCTTTTTGGGTGAAATGTTCTGTAGATGTCTATTAGATCCAATTGTTCACATGTTGAGTTAAGGTCCTGGGTTTCCTTATTAGTTTTTTGCCTCAATGATCTGTCTAAGACTGATAGTGGGGCATTAAAGTCTCCAATTATAGTTGTATGACAATATCTATCTTCTCTTAGTTTGATTAGCAATTGTTTTACAAATCTGGGTGCTTCTATGTTTGGTTCGTATATATTCAAGATGATTATTTCTTGCTGGTGGATTGATCCCCCATCCTTTTTAACTTTTATTGACTTAAAGTCTGTTTTGTCTGATATAAGAATAGCTATTCCTGCTCTTCTTTGTTTTTCATTTGCCTGGAAGATCTTTCTCCAGCCCTTTACCTTGAGTCTTTGGCCTTTTTTGTGCGTGTTTTTGACCTTGACATTTAAAAAGTATAGGCCAGCTTTAATTTTTTACCTTTATTAATATTATTATTATTTGCAGACTACTCAATTTGAGTTTGTCTGGTTAGATTAGTTCAGGTTATATATTTTTGTTAGAAGTACCACAGAAGTGATGATGTGTTCTCAGTGCATCATATGAGGAGTCATCAGATGTTATTTACAATGATGCTTGCAAGGTTTCGCCACTCTAAAATTATTATTTCCTTTTGTAATTAATAAGTAATTTGTTAGGACTTGTGGTGAGATATTGTAAACATCTGTTCCTCAACACCTTTCACCTTTGGGTTTATTTTGTTACTCTTTTTTCTCTGTTTTGTTTGGATTTACAAGAATTCAAACTTGCATTTAGATTGTTGAGTTTTTTTTTTTTTTTGAGTTGGAGTCTCACTCTGTTGCCCAGGCTGGAGGGCAGTGGCATGCTGCTGGCCACCGCACCCTTGGCCTGCTGGACTCTGGCGATCCTTCCACCTTAGCCTTCTGAGTAGCCGGAATTTCAGGCATGCGCTACCATGCCTGGCTGATTTTTTTGATTTATTGTAGAGATGAGGTCTCGCCAAGTTGCCCAGGCAGGTCTTGAACCCGCGGGCTCAGGCAATCCACTCACCTCAGCCACCCAAAGCATGGGATTACAGGCTGAGCCACTTAGCCCGGCTAAATTGTAGGATTTTATAGACTGTGGTAAAAGTTTTGGATTTTGTTCTTAATAAGATTATATTGGTAAATACTATGCCAAACATTCAAAATCATGCATATTCTTTACTCTGCTTTGCTGCTCTATCTTGTTGAAAGCTTAATTTATGTTAGCCTTTTATTTTCTAATATACTTAAGATTATACATTTTTTCTTAACATATCACTTTGACGTGTTGTTCAGGAGTACTTATAGTAGGGTTTCGGATGAAAGGAGACAGTAGATGGGAAGATTGTTTATAATAATTGACTTCTAGGAAACTGGCAGTGAGAGCCTGAAGAAAGTATTTTAAAGGTGCCAGAGTGCCAAAAATAACCCATTAACAAACATTTCCAATCTTATCTTTAGAACAAAGGATACGATTTTTGACGATTGTCATTGGCATACCTGTGAGTAATAGCTGTTGAAATTTATGTAGTTTATTAATTTAGTGCAGCTGGTACTTTGGGGCCTGTTATAAAATATAAGATTATAAGATATAAGATATAAACTATTTCAGACCATATTTTTACTTTACTATTTCAGGAGCAGTGGAAGTGGCATGGAAAAATCCTATTTCAAGCTGGTTCACTGCTATGCTCCACTGCTTTGGTGGAGGAATTTTATCCTGTGTACTCCTTGCAGAGCCTCCGTTGAAGTTTCTTGAAAACAGCACAAATGTATTACTGGCATCTTCAATCTGGTAAGATGCCATTTTGGTGAACTGTGAGCCATTTAAAAAATTGTTTTGTAAATTGTTAGTAAAATGGAATTTTTTTCTTTGAAAAAACTATTTTATGTTCTTGAAAAGTTAGTGTATGTGCAAGGAAGGACCCAAATAATGCCAAAGGTTTTTAAGTGCAGAGTATGTCTCTTCTGTTCTTCTCCCAGAGGCAATTATTGTTAACCATTGTCTTATGTATCTTTAGTAGAAGCATTTCAAATATGAAAGGGCATTAAATATTTGGCCATAAACAGTTTACTTTATGAACCTAAACCTTACGCACAGATATACAACATGATAAAATCATGAATGTGACCAACTAAAACCAAACAAAAAGTCCAAGTGATTATGAGTATAATTGTTCTTCTCATATTCTTTGTTGAATTTTTTAGAGTCTTATGAGATCTTTAAATACAAATTTTGTGGTTTTAAAGAAAAAATGTTGGTAAGAATTGCTTTGAATTCTGGTGAATCCAAATTTAGTTATTCTTAAGAGGACTGATCCATCAAGTTAAAAAACGGTATAATACAAATCAGAGTACTTTGTTCAATCTAAAGCAAAAATTGTGCTTTCTATTAAAAAAAATCGGTTAAATATATAACATGTTAGGAACAATTGTTCATTTAGGTTGTGATATTTTTTATATGAATATGTAACCAGTTGTAAAAGGAGACAGTATAAAGAATAGTAGTAATGGGAGAAAGTAATAGTGGGAACCTGTGGCAGTGGTAACTTGAAGAAGTAGAATAATATATTTGATAGCTAATATTTGTTGAATTGTTACTATATGTCAGCTAAGTTCTTTATATTTATTTTTATATTAATCATAAGAGTCCTGTGAGGTAGTTATTATTATTGTTTTTCCCATTTGACAAATGGAAAAACTGAGACAGAGAGAAATGTTACTGTAATTTTCCTATCTAGTAAGTGGCTGAGCTATAATCTAAACAAGAAGCTTGACTTTAGAGGCTTCACACTTAATAGCCATTGTTTCTCATAGATTTGTTTAATCATTTCTTTTTTGTGTGTGTGTGTGTTGGAGTCTCACTCTGTCGCCCAGACCTGTTGGGCTCTGGCGATCCTTCCGCCTCAGCCTTCCAAGTAGCTGGAACTACAGGCATGTGCTACCACGCCCGGCTAATTTTTTGATTTATTGTAGAGATGAGGTCTCAGACAGGCGGGTCTCGAACCCGTGGGCTCAAGCAATCCACTAGCCTCAGCCTCCCAAAGGTGTGGGATTACAGGCTGAGCCACTGAGCCCAGCTTAATCATTTCTTATAGTCCTCCAGTTGCTATGTATTTTTAAAACTTTCTTATTGTGTTTTAGAAATAAAAGTGTTTATTTCTATAGCAATATTTTAAAAAGATATTAGCCTTTTGGAAAAAATTTTAATGTGTATAGATGCTGACACTATGTAAAAAGTAGGATATCCAGAATCTGACACTTTACATCTTTTCTACTTCTGTTCCTATAATAATAATCTCCACTATTTCTTGCCTAGACAATTGCAGGAGCTTCCTTGAATCTGTTCTTCATGTAGCAGACAAAGTGATTAGTAGTAGGCCCTCTGTACCTATGGGTTCCATGTCCTTGGAGTCAACCAATCCCCGATAGAAAATATTTGGTAAAAAAATGTAACAATAAGAAATAAAAAATAATGCATTATAGCAACTACTTACATAACATTTGTATTGGATTAGGTTTTATAAATAATTTAGAGGTTATTTAAAGTATATGGGAAGATGTATGTAGACTATGTGCAAATACTGCACCATTTGAGTGCCACAGATTTTGAGGGGGTTCTGGAACTGGTCCTCCCCTGATGCCAAGAGACAACTAGGTGCGGGTCCAGCCTCCGCTGATCAGGGCCTGAGTTGGCGGAGGGAATGAGAAAAGAAAGAGAGAAACAGCGGGATTGGAAAGACTCCCTCTCAGCACATGCCTCTTATATAAAACAAAAATCTCACAAAGGAAGGCGAAACCATACAAGCAGGATATGTTAATATCTGAGTTAAATCACACAAGCAGGGTAAGTATCAATGACTAAACTATGCATATCTTAACATCTATGCTAAGCAGGCAGTCACTTAAGATGAGCAGGTTCCGGGCCAGACTTGGCACCACTTGGCTATCCATAGAAATGCAACCAAAAGGTCAGGGGAGACAAAGGAAAATGTAGGCTTAGTTCCTTGAACATAAGCCAAAGAATATAAGGGCCTTGCCAGCTTATATTCCGGTTTCCTTCACAACTATATTTGAAAATAAGTTAGGACATGCCACTCATAAGCTCAATAGTTTTGATCTTATTAAGAACAAAATCCCAGTTTTACTATGGCCCGTAAACCCCTACAAAATCCTCCTTCCCTTCTACTCCCTTTGATGTAATATTTTACCACTCTATTCCTGTTCACTCTGTTCTAGCCACATTAACTTGGTTGTATCTTGAACATATAAGGTATTCTTCTACCTTGGTGCCTTTGTACTTGCTTTCTTCTCCCTATAGTGTTTTCCCCCCACAAGGCTCATATTTTCTGTTATCAGAGAGGTCTTCCCTGACTGAAATAGCACCTCCTCTCCCATGACTATCACATCATCCTTCTTTAGTTTTCTTTCAGAATCACTCATTTCTTAAAGAAGCTCTGGTTTCTTTTAATAAAAAATGGCATTTCAAGAGCACAATTTTAGTGATAGAGATGCTCATTGCTACTTGGTTGATCATTGTTACTTGATTTCTAGGCCTTTTCAGTGAACATAACCTGGAAAAATAAAGATAAAATTTTTAACTCGTGAGTTCATATTGATATTTCTAATACAAATTCAGAATTGTAGAGCTTTTATTGAACTTTAAAAAAAAATATATGTATCTATTTTCTTTCATACTAAGAATTTTGGTTGTGAAAGGCATGAGATATGATAGAATTAAAATATTCTAACATTACTAATTTGTTTTATTCGGTATTAGCTGCATAGTAGTCTTAGAATAACAGTACTAAAATTGCCATAGAAATTTTTTTTTTGCATATAAGCTTTCATTGTCCTCTCATTTTTAAAATAAATGTTCTATTTTTAACACTGCGGCAGTTTTATAGCTGTTACCCACTATACTTTTCCCTTCTTAGTCCTCATTCATTCTTAGTTTTTCAACTGACTATATTTAATGCTTATCATCAGTCCTTATGTCTGTACCTCTCAAAAAATTTTGGTTGTCTGAAGCTTATTCTCTAGTAAATTAATCAGACTAGAATCTGAGAAAGAGAATTCTGGTCTCAGAATTCTTGCATGTTGATAAGTTTGTCAATGTCTTTTGTACTTGAAAGCTATTTCTGCTGGATATAGAATCATTAGCTCATACTTTCTGTCCTTGAATATTTTAAATAAATTACTTCATTTTTTTCTGGTTTAAAGCATTGCTGTCAAAGTCTGATTATCTTTCAGTTTTCTTTCTCTTTTAAGTCACATGCTTTTTTTTCCCTAAGATCACTAAAGTATTTCTTTTTTTCATTAAAGCCTATAATTTAAAATATTTTGGTGTTGGTAGTTCTGGTACAGTATTCTCAGGTATGCTTTATGTTCTTTTTGGTACTTAAATTTTTTTTTTTTAAGTGTGAAAGTAATTTTAGGATTTTTAGTCTTCCCTTGCATTGATTTTCTTTAGGAACTCCTATTATTGGTATATTGGCTCTTCTTTGCCTTTTTTTCAAGGAATCTTTTTAATTTGTCTTTTTAAAAAATTAAAATATTCTTTCCCTTTCCCCTTTTATTTCTTTGAAGGCACAGTTATGTTTATTTCTCTTTGTGTTTTTTTGGTTTGGTTTTCATTTCTTTTTTTTTTTTGAGTTGGAGTCTCACTCTGTCGCTCAGACTAGAGTGCAGTGACCACTCCCGGCCACCGTAGCCTCAACCCGCAGGGCTCCCGCAATCCTTCCGCCTCAGCCTTCCAAGTAGCTGGAACTACAGGCACGTGCTACCACGCCTGGCTAATTTTTTTATTTTATTGTAGAGATGAGGTCTTGCCAAGTTGCCCAGGTGGGTCTTGAACCCGTGGGCTCAGGCACACCACTCACCCCGTCCTCCCAAAGCGTGGGATTACAGGCTGAGCTACCGAGCCCAGCCTGGTTTTCATTTCTGAAATGATTTTTTTCCTTTTATTTCTTATTTTTTCCCATGTATTATATTTTTAGTTCTCAGTTTTTCTGATTCTGATGTATGTTGTTCTTCTAAATCTTACATCACTTAATGTTTTTAGCTTGTTTTGAAACAGTAGATTACAATTTTGATCTTTTTTGTGGGTATGTTTTCTGAGTGATTTTATTGTCTGGAAGGATTTACTCTGCTTCTTTTTTTCTATTATAATACATGTGTATACTTTTCTGTTGGTCATTTTTATATGAAATTGATTTAATTGAACTTTCAGAATGAGGTGAAAATATTTTTTTGACAGAGATCCCACTTTTGGTTTTATGTAGTGATCAAAAGATGATCTGCTTTCTGAGATTTCTTAGTTCTCTTCCCCTTCTTCAGTTTGGTCTGAACCTTTTCTTTCTTCTGTTCTATTCTCTTCAGTTTTTAATTTAAATTATTTTTTAAAAAAAAATTTAAAGATATGGGGTACAATTCAGGGTTAGAATACATAAATATTTGGTCATTGTACAGGTAAAGTTTGGGCCTTCCTTTGGTCCTCACTTTGACTGGTTTGAGACCGGGTACCCTTATTGATGTTATGTGCCCTCCTCTCCTCTATTAGCCACTACTGCCAATACCTTTCTTATAGTATTATGATAAATGTTCAGGGTCTGCTTATGAGTGAGTGCCTGGGGTACTCAGATCTTTGTTTCTGTGAAAGATCACTAAGTATTACCGATTCCAAATCCATCCAGGTTTGCTGAAAAGTCCATAATTTTGTCCTTTTTTTCCTTCTATTTTAATAATTGTTTTATTGTAAAGATGTGGGGTACGATTCAGAATTGGGTATGCAAA